CCTCGCCACCATCTTCTCCAAGGAATGCGTGACCTGCAGCTGCCTGATAGTCTTGTTGCTGTGCTCATGCAGTGGCACTCACAAATCCGGTATACCGTGCATCATGCTGGCCAGTCCTGCACCTTCCCAGCAAGCCGTGGCATTCGCCAAGGCTGCTCTGCATCCCCTCTTTTATGGCTGGTATTCTCGCATGTTCTGTGCACTCAGCTTGCGACCCGCATTGGCAAACACAAGGTGGACCAAATTCTCACCGTCTTTGCCGACGACCACTTTGCAGCCGACAGCTTTCATAGTCTTCCGGAGTTTGAGGCCCTTCTTGACTGCATTGTCGCTCTGTTCTGCACCCTTGAAGCCTTTGGCATGGAGGTCAGTGATGCCAAATCTAAAGCCGTCTTGGCCTTAAGAGGCACCTTGAGCAACACCATCACCCGCAGATATGTTCGCAAGGTCCCGGGAGGCAAAGTTCTTCGCATTCAACTTCGCAATCGCGTCCTGGCCATTCCCCTGGTCTCACAGTTTACGTACCTCGGTGCTCAGGTTAGCTATCAGGCTTTTGAGAACCAAACTCTGCAGTATCGGCTAGAGAAAGGAACTGCCACCTACAATCGCCTTGGCTCTGTTCTCAAAGGGCGTCATCATCTGACTGCCGCCCAGAGAATCGATCTGTGGAAATCCTGTGTCTGGAGCAGCATCTCCTATGCACTGCCGGCCTGTGGCCTCACCCCCTCAGGTCACAAAACTTTGGAGACTGCTGTGATCAAGCACCTCCGTGCCATTCTCAGAAGCCCCGTCCATCTCACCTTCACAAGTAATGCCGAGATAGCTCAACGGGCGGGTCTCGAACTGCCGCATCGTATGCTGCAGAAACTCCTCCAGACGGAGGCCCGTAGAAAATCCGATGCATCATCACCAGTCGACCCCTTCATCTGTACCCCTGCTGATTCATGGTGGACGCAGGTTGAAGAGAGTCTTCAGCCACCAGCTGAGTCGACTACGATTCAAGTGCCTTCCCTGACTGTTGCAAAGTGCGCCTGCCCGATATGTGGCATTACATACGCCCTCAGATCTGCACTGCTTACTCATGTAGCCAAGCAACATCCGGAGAGTCTGCTTGAACTTGAGCAACCAACTTTTGATCGGGCCGTTGATGCTATAGGAGGAATGCCCCAGTGTGCAGCGTGTGGAAAACGATTTTCGACTTGGCAGCTTCTTCAAAGACACGTGGAAGGCAATTACTGTGCCGCGAAACATGAGTTGCTGCCTGCCGCCCCGATCGAGCCAATTGTGCCAGCATCCAAGCGACCCGCACTCTTTGCCGAATCACCATGGCCTGACCTAGTTAAGACATATGCATCCCGCGCTATCTACCACTTCAAAGCCAACGAAGTCTACCTTCAGCATTGCTTAGTTTGTGGACAGTGGGTTGCCTCGCACAAAGCCATGAAGCTGCACTACCGTCGTACACATGCTGAGTTATTCCGACTCCACAACGATACTGCCCATAAGTTGTGTCAATCATACCCCCGCTGTAGCTCTCCGTGCCACTTTTGTAAAGCCAAACTTGCCCAGCCTAAAGCACATAATACCCAGTGTACTGTTCTGTGGCAATTCTGCATCAGCTATACAGCTGCACACAGAAATGGCGGACCAACAGATCCAAGAGATCTTCGGGCCAGTGGCCCTGGAGGGAGCGGGCAAGCTGGCCACTCTTCTCATGGAGGACATGTCGGACAACGATCGTCCGTCCAAGCACCCCAAGACGGACAAGCGCCAGAGGGCGCCCTTCACAGAGCCTTCAGGAGGGGGCTTCGGCCCCCGTTACAGGGGGCAGAATCGACACGGTCGCCAGGACAAGGAGGCAGCTTTGATCAAGGCGATGGGCAGATTGGTGATACGCCAAGAGACCCAATTGCAGGTCCTGAAGCAAAACTCTGCCTGGACCCTCTACTTGAAGCCGGGCCAAGCCGGGGCCATGCCGATTCTGTTCAAAGCTGCAGCCACATATCGCGAGGCCTCGAAGACCAAGTTCATGGAAGCTCCCCTCCCGGTCTTGCTGAGCACCCTGTTTCAGACTCTGCTTACATGAGTGCAGAACCTGGCCGCGCAACCGGATCAGCAAACTCAGGCCAAAACCAAAGGCTGGCTGAACAACGAGGGCAAATGGGTATATCAACGTTGGGACCCCGAGAACCAGACCCTCACGACCGACGCCTCAAGAGCAGCAGTGACACACCAAGAGATCGTCAATCATGTTACCCTGTTGGTGACAGCAGTGACGGAAAAGGACGTGATTCATCGCTTCAATGCGACGAACGGTCTACCGGCCAATCCCGAGCAAATCACGACTTTCCTCTTGGAAGTGGGACTGAGGGCCACGGGAGTCGAGAAGGTCTGGGCAGCCCTCGAGTTCCTATCGAACTCGACGGCCCTACAGCTGTGTGGCATGCAACTCAAACGGGACAATCTCAAGAGGAGCTCGCTTGCCAACGACGTGCAGAAATTGCTGCAGGAATACACAGGCTCTGCTTGATCAACCGTTCCCAGCATTGCTATGCCAACTCATTTGCCTTTGCACTGCTGTGGTGTCATCAGCTCCTGAAGGTGCCTGAGGCACAGCTCTTTGGCACCAAAGTGCAGGCGTGGAGAGATGTCCTCTACCACTCAACTAGTGTATCATTGTTCAGGCTGCAATCATGGGCCTCATTATGGCGTGGGTGGGAGCGGCCATCGGCACAGCACGATGTCTCAGCCTTCATGACCCATGTACTTGCGAAGATGCAGCCACCCATCCTTCAAGGCACCTGGGAATCCCGTACTTTGGAAGGGGGTGAAACATATCGCGAGGACTCTGGCCGAATGCATTCTCCCATCATTCTGCACATACAACCGCGGCATCAAACACTGCAGGACTGTCTTGATGGATGGCACAATCAGGTGCAGCCGCATGCTCTCTGTCAAGCCTCATCCCTGTGCTTTGTACAACTGGCCAGGTATGATTTTGATAATGGGGTGGCTGTCAAGAACAGCCAGGCTATTACGATTCCTGACTCAATCTTCGTGCCGATTTGGGGCCGACATCTCACGACCTTCAGAGCCAGATACACTGTAGCTGCCGCTATAATGCATCATGGACCGCATACTGCTGCTGGCCATTACACTGCAGCACTTCTGGACCCAACCACTGAGCTGCACAGGGGACGATGCTGGCTATCGGATGACAACCGTCGTCTTGGGGCCCAGACCTCAATCCCCACATCGGCCATGCATCAAGGATACGTGTTCGCACTGGTCAGGTCCATCTGACCGCCTTGCATCGAGTGGGGCACTTCTTGAAGGGGATGCGATGAACACTCGTTCACTCTTTTATTCTGCCGAGCCTGTTACCAGTGCACCGCCAACCGAGTGGAGCCTTTCTTTATAACCAGACCGGCTTGCAGGCACTAGTGCCGAAGCCACTTTCTACCGGGCCCCAAAGGGGTGCGCCAACCATAGGCGCCGACAAACACCATGTCGCCGTCAAGGGACGCTTAGCGAAGTCGGATCTTTGCTGCGAGGGAAGAAAAAAGAAGTAGTAGTAGTAGTAGTAGTAGTAGTAGTAGTAGTAGTAGTAGTAGTAGTAGTAGTAGTAGTAGTGGTTGTGGTAGTGGTAGTGGTAGTGGTAGTAGTAGTAGTAGTAGTAGTAGCAGTAGTAGTAGTAGTGGTAGTAGTAGTAGTAGTAGTAGTAGCGCGAAGCCCCTTCTTCCTCCTCCTCGAGTCAATGGGCCAGACCATCGAGCTCCTACCAGGACGACGATTGGAGCTGGTGGCAACAGTGGTCCTGGCATGGATACTCCGAATCTTCACAGCAGTGGCCAAAGGGTCACAACAAATGAAAGTAGGTATATGTCACAGACTCCCTGATCCCGTATGGCGCGGCCTCTGGGAATTCGGCGCTCTTCCGACGCTTGCATATCTCTTCGGGAGCGGCGAACAGCGAGCCTGCCTTGCTTGCAAAAATGTATGCTGCTATGCCTGGAGGAGTTGACACCTGCCTGTCAGCCTGCGACTCACTTGCTACGCAGGTACGTGCACATGACCCTTACGGCCTTCTGTCTTCAGCATGAGTAATCCGTGTGGGACGCCACTAGACGGATACTCAGGGCACCGGCTTCAGCTGAAGTACGACCCACTTGCTGAGACAGGTGAACAGACGGACGCGTCAGTCACAACAGGGTGGCGGAGGATGAAGCAAACGATGTACAGTTAAGCCATGTTGAGTAGATTGAGAGGATCAAGAGCGATAGATGCGTGCAGATTACATGTTTCACGAGTGCACGGGAGCAAAGGCGCCCGCAAAGCGCAGAGCACGCTCGCGCAGCGTTCAATTGAATAGTAGTAGTAGTAGTAGTAGCAGTAGCAGTAGCAGTAGCAGTAGCAGTAGCAGTAGCAGTAGTGGTAGGAGTAGGAGTAGGAGTAGTGAGTTGTAGCGGTAGTGGTAGTGGTAGTGGTAGTGGTATTATTATTAGTGTTACTTGTAGTCGTAGTAGCAGCAGTAGAAGTAGAAGTAGAAGTAGAAGTAGAAGTAGAAGTAGAAGTAGAAGTAGAAGTAGAAGTAGAAGTAGAAGTAGAAGTAGAAGTAGAAGTAGAAGTAGAAGTAGACGTGGAAGTGGAAGTGGAAGTGGAAGTGGAAGTGGAAGTGGAAGTGGAAGTGGAAGTGGAAGTGGAAGTGGAAGTGGAAGTGGAAGTGGAAGGAACAGGACAAGCAAGGACTAGGAGTAGCAGTAGCAGTCGTAGTCGCAGTCGTAGTCGTAGCAATTGCGCATCAGCAGCAGGAGGAGCAAGAGGAGGAGGAGGAGGAGGAGGAAGGATTGGCGAGGCTAGATGTTCAGGGTTTTAGGATTTGGGGTGTAGGATACAGCAGCTTCAATGACCTTCAATCTTGAACGGTTAATTGTCTTTTAAGCAGATTCGAGACACTTCTGAAGCTGGCGACCTTGCATCTTGAACCCCTGTCCTGCCAGCACCTCGAGATGCCTCTGTGGGAAACGCCTCCGTTCTCGCTCTGGCTTGTGTACACCCTCTTCGTGAGCGTGCCTGAACTTCAAAACACAAGGATATTACTCCGGAGTATCCGCATTGGATGCAAGGTTAACGGGCTTGTTTGCTTTTGTAAGTCAAGAGAGGGTTTAGGGTAAATCTTGTATGCGGAGTTCGGCTAGAAGGCTTGTCGAGCTCATGGAGTGTTTGTGAGCCGTGGCAAGGAGGGTCCCGAATGAATTTTCACGAAACTGGCCACGTGACAGCCACGTTTCCTTTTGCGGTGCGGTCGGTCGTGGCTAACTCGTAAAACTTGATTCGTTTTGTTCTCGAGTTTTTGCAGCCTCGTTTTTGGGTCTTCGGGACCTGGAACAGACAATGGCTTTGGTTTTTGGCCGGGATTGCTCGGCTTTGTCTATGTGCTTGGTCTTGCAGACTTGCAGGAAGGCCCTTGCACTCATCGATGTTTGAGTTTGTACATTAAGAGTTCTTGCTTGGGGTTTAGGGCTCAGGGTTTTTCGAGTTTAGGTTTAGGGTTTAGGGTTTAAATGTGACGCTGGTTGGGTTTGGGGCCTTTAGGTTCTCGAGTGTATAGAGTTTTCGGTGTCTATCCGTCTATGAGTAGGTTTTTGGGCCTGGGAGCTGTGCGGATTCGGGTTGTTTGCTTTGGGGCTTCGGGCCTTTCGTGTCTACGGTCCTTACGGTTTGACGTTTGCAGCAACGGTGAGTTGAGGGTTTAGGGAATTTAGCGTTCAGGCTTCGTGAGAGAGTACGCCTCAGGGTTTTGCGGTTTCGTCTTTCTGTGGGTGTCGGTTAAAGGTCTCAAGGTTTACAGTTCTCTAAGGGTTTCAGTTTTCAAAGTTGTGGAGTGTGCGGTTTTGGGTTCAGGGCTTTCATTGTGCTTGCACTGGAATTGGATTTAGGGTGCAGGGTGCAGGGCAATGTCTTTTGTGGGGTTCACCTTCTCCTCGGCTTCTTTCAGGCTTTAGAGTGCCATGTCTTAGGATTCTCGGTCTAGTGCTTTGAAAGCCAGATCTTTGTGTTCTAGGCTCAATGTTCATAGCCAGGTTGTTTTGTTGGGGCTTCTGTTTGGCAGTTGGACCTACAGTTGGCTTACAAACTGGAGGATAAAGTATTATGTGTTCACGAGGTAGGGAGTTTTGTGTTTGAGGTTCAGGGTTTTGAGGGATGGGTCAGACTTTACGGTTCAGTGGACGGTTCAGGGCTTCACATTATGTTTCTCCTTCAGACTCGCAATCACAAGTCCGATGTACAAAATCCCAAACACCCAACGCTTCTGTGCTTAATGAGTAACGTTCCTATTGCTGTTCATTGTATTCACAGGCAGGAGTGTCGGACATACGAGAATGGTGACCAGGAGTAGGACTACCAGGAAACTGCTTCGGCAGACAGTGTAGACACAGGTGCAATATGCACTGCACAAAAGCCAGCCAACTTGTAGATGTAATGACAATGAGTGTGGAAGTTCGCAGCGCCGTTTATGCCGTGCCAGCCTTCAGAATCAATGAGTCATGAGCGATTTAGGCCAAAACAAGACAACCGGCAATGTTCAGGTACTCACCCACATGGATGTTATGACGCAGGGCCTTTTTCTGGCAACGACGCTGCATAGATTCCACTGCCCAGGCGAATGTGAGAATGTGGATCTGTGTCTGCACGAGCTGTTAACTCCCAAGCCCTAAACCCGACGAGCCTGGTCACAGCTTCTGTGTAGGGCATCACCTGCAAGAATATCTGTAAGGTTGTTTCGGAACTACTGACCATAAAGCTGCCGGCCAAGAGACCCGCAGAGCCTCTACTCAAGATCAGATGGTGCCTGCAGGCAGAGCCCTCTAGAGTACCTGATCAGAAGTGGTCAACACGCTTCAGACTCAGAGACTGCAACGCCCTCTTGAGCATTCCAAAGTCTCCGAAACGCTTTGGCAGGGCTGGTGGTGTTTATGATAGTGAGTTTGCGACTGGACCCAAGGGTTCGTTTGACCGTCCGAGCCGACGTGCGTATGTATGATTTGTTGACACAAGATACTTCGCTTATGCGCTGCTGCACTGCAAACACAACGCCTCCAAGCCAGCAACTCCAAAACCCTGAACTTGAAGCCACAGCCCCAAATCCGAAATCAAGACTGTACAGACGTTATTAGACCCGCCCTTAGCCCCGAAATCACCGGCCCAACAACGCCCTGAAACGTTGCAATGTCGTCCTACGAGGGCACTATCTCGGCTTCCGACTTTCAGCTCAAAGCCGGAAGAATTTCAAGCCACAAGCAAGGTGACGTCCGGCCACCACCCTCAAGCCTGAACGAAAGCCAGGCTTTGGCAAAACCAGGGATGCATGGCACGAAGTATGGGGCAACTCGATTCTCTCCTGGATGGCCTGGGGCTCCAGCCTGGACCGCATGGCTCGCACACGATCGTTACAGTTTTGATAGTATGACGATTATCATTCTTAATATTATCTTAGTCTTACGTTGCTTTTGTTGCTTTTCTGCTTTTGCTGTTGTTGTTGTTGCTGCTGTGCTGGTTTTTGCTTGTCACGGTTATGATCCAAGATTGTCAGTATGCAGATGACTAATTGTGACGCTGGTGGTGATGATGATGACGGTTGGTGTTGTCACTGCTAGTTTTTCTTATTATTGTCATAAACTAATCTTCTGATTATATACATTTTTGTTGTTATTGTTGGTTTTAGTGCAACAACACCACCACTACCACCGCGGCCGCTGCTGCCATCACCACCACAGCCAACAACAACCACAATGCACAACCACAGCCACAGCCACAACTACAACCACCACCACAACTACAACCACAAACCACAACCGCAACCACAACCAAGAACAGTTTCAACTAGAACTGCAACTGCCACTGCTTCTCCGACGCCTACCCGTGCTGCTGCTCCTCGGCCCTACCCCTACTCCTACTCTTACTCCTACTCGTACTCTTGCTCCTGCCTCCTTTGGCAGCTAGCATCGTAGAAGTATGGGGAAGCCCGCTTACAGCTTTCCAGTTCTCTGGCCTCCTCCTCCTCCGCCTCCTCCTGCTGCTATCACTACTGCCACCTGCTTTCTCAGCCTTTCGAGACCAGTATTGTGCGCATGGGAAGCATCATTGGTGTCATCGTTGTGGTGAATTATGCGCAGTCGTTCGTCATTGCTGGGTATAAGCCTTACTATTCTTCTTTTGCGTAAGGCTTCTTGTTGAGTGGGGCGGTGCTTGGGGTGTTTCGGTTTCTCTTATCTGGGTGAGTCGGGTTCGTGGTTAGTTCAAGGCGTGGCATGATGATTCATGGCGGTCGAGCTATGTCTTGCATGCAAGTTTCGCAGTCTTGCTCGGTTGTCGCAGTCTTACCACAGGTCGATGCTTTTGGGATTGTGCCACGGGTTGTCGGTGATAGCAGCTTTCGGTTGGATTTGCTCCGTTTGAAAGCAGGAGCTTCTGGGCTGTTGTTCTATCCTTTCTATTCGTACGGACTGTTTGGAGGTTCGATCTGTAAGTACGGCAGCAGAATCACTCAGGAGTCATGCATACCACGTCTTTCCTCTCGACACTGCTGTAACTTACAGTATCTACCCACAAACCTCTTCTAACAATATGATGGCTCTTTCGTGTAGTGAGGCAGCGGCCTACTGAAGTGCCCCACTACTGCTCCGCTGCGGTGCTTCCAACTCTACCATCATTCCTCGGAAGCCATAAGGTAAGTAGCATGACGGTTTAGCGCTCTTCATCCCCATCGGTCCAGCCACAGGCTCTGCACAGAGCTGTGATTTCAGAGGTCGTGTGAGCAGAAGAAGAGCACTTATCGAAGCCTTCAAAATGAAACCCACAAGCACCAATGCCGCCCCTTCAGTGAGACGCTTCTGCACAGACTAGCTGTTTGCACTGCGGTGGGTGAGCGGTCCTGTCCATCTTCCACCTCGTCGAACGCCACTGCAACTTTCACAACGGCGCATTCGTATAGAGTTTTGTAGAAGTCCTTCGCAGGACTTGCGTCAACCCTAACACCCAAAAGGGTTTCCAATGCAAGCAGCACCCCAACCTGTGGGAGCCCTGGAGGAGACGCTGGTCATCGTCAGCTGGGGGGTCTTCGTCTTGCACCTGGGTTTAGAGTGCAGGGCCGATGATATAGATTGAGGGGGCCATTGAGCTTGAGCATCCCAGAGCCTCGAATCGAGACCTGTCTGTTAAGATGCTGACTAGTACTGCCAAGCTTCGGAAGTTGTCGGAAGTCCTCCGCGTGTGCTCTTGTCCGTCATCGAGGGGTGCTTGTCAGAAAAGGTTTCAAGTCTAGCTCCTTGTGTTGTTCCTGCTTTGAAAGCTTCGGGCTCTGATCTTGAGTCGTATCCGACGCGAACTCTTGACATAAGTATCAGAGCTCTGAGGGATGAGCCCAAATCTAAGGCAGCTGGTGTTGTTTGCGCTCCATGCGATGCCTGTGCAACCCGTCAGCTTCGCATGCCAGCTCCTGGGAATTTGATTCATTATGAGGAATTCCTGCAAATAGGTGATCCAGCCACCAGCACGGCCTCTCTTAACCCAATATTACAGTGCGGGTTCTTGACACGCGCCCGAATGTCCCACTTTGATTCCGAAGACCGACACTCAGCACCAGGCTTCCGCAAATTCATTTAGCATGCCAAGTTAGCCTAATTGTCACGGCAGCCTCAAGCTCTTCATTTACAATCCGTCTAACTTAGGTGTTGTGGGAGGGGTTGGAGGACGTTCTGCCCTACGCCTCAAGAAGAGTTTATGATTAGAGACCCAGGAGCGAGAAACAGGGCTACCTGAACGTGGCTGGCTTTGGCTACGTCAGAATATGGCATGCGGATGCATTGATCCACGGCCTGTTGAGTGACGCCCTGGCCCTACTCCTTCGACCCTGCAGCCCGGAGCAGGCAAATCTACATACACCTACTGGATGGCAAACCCCTGGCCAAACCCTACGATTACGATTGAATCTGAGATCAAGCAAGTCCATCCAGGAAGCTTAATGGTGTTGCGGTTTGATTTGAGGGTGCTATTTGCAGCCGTAGCGGTCTGATTCATGGTTTAGTTTGTAAGGATGGTTTAGGGGTGCGATGATTTACCTCCCTCACCAGTGTGGTAACACTATGAGGGTTCGGGCTTTTTCAGTGGCTATACTTGTAGATGTGAAGGGATCTGGATACCGAGGCGCGAGGGCAGGTGCACACAGCGGGTCCTGGTTTGGGTTGTCAATCGTGCTTCTGCCACAATGTGGTGCACATTTTGGACTCATGGGGTGCTGGAATCGTTCCGGGACAGGCACGGCTTGGACTGGGTTTAGGTAGGCCAGGTTGTGCGCTGTGTGGGTGCAGTGGCTCATCTTGGGGTTTTACAATGTTTTACTTCTACCCGGGCTCGGAACGTTTTTTCTAGGTCCGGCAGGGCCTTTTTTGTCGTGGATGGTGTCCTGAGCGAAATCGAGAGCTTGAAATTTCGATTGGTTGCAGGCTGAAAGTTTCAAGTTTGGACACGTCGGAAAGGTGTTGGAGTTTGACAGTCGGGCAAACTCGTAAGGAGTTCGACAGTTGGGGCACATTTGTATGCGAATTTTGACCGGCATCAAACTTCGAACCTATCAAACTCCAAACCGTCGACCCTTCAAGCTTTCGAGCCCGACCAGCTGCTTCGAACTCCATCTCAAAACTCTAGCCGCGGCCGAGTTCGATCGGCCCTCAGGAAAGTTGAGAGTCGCGAGGTCGAAAGTTTCGAGTTCGAAACCACAATCGAAAGTTTCAAACTTAAGAGTTCGATCTCTTGATCGTTTAAAGATCGAAAGGCCGGAAGATTCAAGTTTGGAAAATGTTGAGTCGGATAGGTTCGCTCCGAATCGGCTGGGGGCTCGCCGCTCAGGTCGAGAGTTCGACAGTCCGTAAGTTTCAAAGTTTGACAGGTTGGGGTTCGGACGTTCAAAGTTTGGAGCATAGAAAGTTTGCACGGCATCAAGATTCGGGAGTTTGAGGGTCGAAGGTTTGGAAACTTGCAAAGTTTGAAGATTTGAGACCTGTCGATTTTCAAAGTTAGACGGTCCCGCGAGTTCCAAGCTAGAAATGCATGGAAGATTGAGAATTTGAAGGGTCCAACCCATACGTTAAACAAAACACTTCGCTAGACGATGGCGCTTGATCTCGTGTCTTGATCCCGCTCCTCAGGCAGTAGGCGATTGCGGTTGATTTCATATTTCAAACTCGCCCCTTCATTCAGCGTGTGCGGTTGATCTGCGCAAAAAGCCATTACCATCTTTGTAGATGTCGTATTTTGGTTTGGGTTTGTAGATTTTAGCGATTTGGCCACATGATGTGAGCTGTAGGTTGCAAGGTTGTTTTGGGGTGCGGCGGTTTGAGTTCGGGCTACGTTCGCTTGAAAAGTTGAAAGATGTTCCAGGGTGCAGGTTGTGGGGGTGTGTACGATTGTAAACTGGCAGTAGTATTTAGGGTTTAGGCTGGTGGGTGCAGCGGCATGTTTGTCGTTTCTGGACACTCCACAAACCATCGCAAAACCTTGTGTGCGGAAAAACAGCGGTCCCACAGCTTTCTTTTCTGTGTAGCAGAGTTTAAGTTTAAGTGGTTGTTTGGCAGAGTAAATGCGGGAGTGGGCTCAGGGTTTAGGAGTGTAGCGCTGCAATAAGGTTTCTCCTTCAGGGGTTGCTGGAGGGTTTGAAGTTGTGGTGGGGTTTAGGTCAGGTGCGGTTTAGCTTGCAGGTGCCACGGTTCGATGTAAGTTTAGGGTCCAGGTTTGTTGTGATTGTTATGGTTCAGGGTGGACGTTGCGGGGTTTGAGGGTGGATGGATTTTAGGTTGTAAATGCCGCGGTCTGCTTTCGTGTTTTAGGGTTTCGCTTAGTTGAGGTTGACTTTTTTGGGTGTAGCTGTCTGATTTCTGGTGCAGGTTGTAAGCATTAAGGGTGGGGCGTTGTTTTGGGGTTTAGGTCATGGGGTTTGGCTTGTATCTCTGTAATGGGATTGAGGTTGTAGGCATAGCTTGAGGGTTTAGGATGTAGGCTGTAAGGGTGTAGCTGCTAGCCTTTTGATTTGAGAGTTAGCTGCAGGTGCAGCGGTCTATCCAAAGAAAGGCTTTAGGGTTTGGGGGTTAATGCAAGCAAGGTAGGGCTTATGGGGTGTAGCGAGTTTAAGGCAGGATTTGGCGGTGTCGGTGTAGGTATTGATTGAAGGTAGTCAAGGTGCCACGGCGCAGTGGTACCATTTAGAGGGCTGGGGTTTGGGATTGTCCGTTGCAGGGTGTAACATTTGCTTGATCTGGCTTGCGTAGGACGGGGCTGTAGTGGCAACTAGCCATCTACAGGCCCACCCCGTTTTGAGACAGAGGGGTGCTGTGCTTTTCCTGTAAAGGTGTAATTAGGGGCAGCGCGTATTTAGAGTTTAGCTTGCTGGGTGTAGGGGTTACAGCAATTCAAATTAGGGCTTGTGTGACAGAGTTTAGGGTGTCAACACTCAAGCGACTGAAGCTTTAGGTTTCGGGTGTATATAGCTCATTTGAATATGACTCGACCGGCTTAAGCCTTGTACAGTATAGGCTGTTGGGCGTGCGGCGTGCGGGCTGAGGTAAATACACGTTCATTTACCCAAAGCCTGACGCGGCCCAGCAGGATAAACACACAGAGCTCCCAAAAGTTCTAAGCCACAGCCATGTTCGAAAACTAGCAAGGAAGCGCTGAATCCAAAGTTGAACCCCTTAACTCTACACTCGTGAGACTCCCAAGCATGAATGGCTAAACCGAAGCCCCAAAGCTGTGAACTTGTCGCACGTCCCAAGCCCTTTATCCATGGGCCTCGAGCATGAGACCTGTAGTCCGAAAGCACAAGTCCAAAACCACACACTGACGTTCGTTGACTTGATGCCCGATGATGCAGCTCTCCTGGGTTGTGGGTGCATGGACTTTTGGTTTTCAGCCATGCATGGGCATATGGTTCAGGGTTTTGGAGCTTCGGTGTTTTGAGCTCTAGGGCTCCGGGTGCTGTGTTTGTTTAGGCTTTGGGCCTCTTGGCAAGGGGTTGCACACGATATGTGTGCTGGAGCCCAAAGCCACAGGAAAGATTTGGCGAGCTCAAACAGAATGGCCATGGTTTCTGCTGGACATCTCAGGTTTCTTGGATGCTATGGAAGCTGTGTGTAGAACCGTAAACCATTCAGGGGCCTGGAGCCCGAAAACCACGACTCAAACGCCGAATGAGTTTGTGGCCCTCCTGCAAAACGCCACTTTGGGGTTTAGGTCCTGGGTCTTTGGTTCGGGGGTTTGGGGTCTTTCGGTTCAGTGGGGGGAGCGATACAGGGTAGCTAGCCGTCCGGGAAGAAGCCTTCAACCTCCGAGCGACTGGAGTTCTTATCCGAAAGGCCCGAGGCCAACAGTTGCGAATACTTCACCAGTCCTTCATCTCCAGCCAAGCAGCCAGAATCATTGAACTGGAAATCTTAACAGCTCCAGGTTGACATTAAGCCCGAAGTAGACCTTGAAACATCTTGTTGCCGGAACATCTCTTTCGCAATTGGTTCCTATCCAACGACAAAATACCACGAAATGTTCCAACCCTTTTGTGGCAGGTAGTTGGAGTCTGTTAGGGTTTCAAGATTCGGCAGCTCCCTAAACCCTGAACTTCCAGGCTGAGCGTCAAGCGCGCCCGTCAGGAGCTTCAAGCTCAGCCGCCGAATGACACGCGGCCGCTTGTCTAACTAACGGACATTACAGCTTCGACCCTCCATTCTAGGCCTGTAGCCCCGAAAGCGCAACCCTAGCTATCGCAAGATCCTGAACCCTCGGCTCAGAATTTTTGTGGCTGGGGTGGAGGAAGTTCAGGAATTGTCGCGTAGGTTCGAGGGTTTAGGGCTAAGGGACTTTTCTCGGGTGACTGAAGCAGAGATGCCTTTGACCGCGAGCTAAACATTCTGACAAGGATGGTCTTGCTCGCGTGCCGTTGGATGTGATTGAATATGTGCATACCCATATGCGACTAATAGTATGTATATGTATGTAGTAATCTGTCTAGATAAAAGTATTACTTATATAGTAACGTGTAACTGTGTAAACTGAATAGAGCACAACAGATAAGGTATGTGGACAATAGTAGAATCGGAGCTACAATACAGTATGTTCTAAGTATCTATATATATTTATATATGAATATAGTAGATACAAATATATATAATCAATACAAGTTTTTAATAATAGTACATCTATATTACCATTCTCGCATAATCAAGAAATAGAAAACATATTCTAATACCTGCCATAATAAATCTAATGTATAAGACTAATATACAATTATAAAATGCTACGTAATAATCGTGAGTACTATAAAAACCAGCAAATAACAACAACTCTCCCAATAATATATAACGTGCTTGATATACTATTAAACTATTATCAGAATCATTACTCTTTGTCTCTCTAATCATTCCTATAAAAATACATAATCAAAACTTTACTCTTATACATGGAACACAACCAAAAGCCCCACAACCCACCCGCCACGCCACGAACAAAAATTCAACCCCACGAACACCCCTAAAAAAAAAAATAAACCACCATGTAGTCCGCGACAACGGGTGGGTCATATTCTATCTTATATATTGTATCTCAATTTCTATATTCATATCCTCTTATTACTTCCCATATTTTCCTACTTTGTATTTCTATATATATTTTATATGACTCAGTAATATAGTACTATATATTATATCAGATTATATATCGATTTATCTTATAATTTAGTTCTAGTCTATATTATTCTATCTTTCTTATTTCATTCCGTATCTTTTTTATATTACTAGCTGCTTGTTCTATCTTTGAATTTCTATTATATTCTCTATTAGATAGTAGGTCTGTTTTATAATTTCTTTATCTTATACATTATACTTATAGCGTTAATTTTATTTTATTCTCGATCCTCCGAGATTCATCTCGATTATACTTCAAAGCTCTATTATTTGTCTTTCCCTGTGATCTTTAAACAACCTACCAACGTGTACTGTGATCAGGCACCACCAGGAATAGTACATCGATGTTTTGCACGTCATGCGCGTACGAAAACGTCTATATGTACAGTGCACGTGCATGGGCGCATGTGGACTGGGACCGCCAACGCCCAGCAACAGGCCGAAAAAACCAAACCAGACCCCAAGCCGGCGGCCACACCCTACAGGTCTATGTTGGCGAAATCGCCTCCAGGAAGTAACACCAATGACGGCGGCAAACTAATCAAAGCTTGAAGCCCTAGTCCCAACAACACTCACAGCATGTGCAGAAGCAGACTAGTCTGATCGGAACCAAAAAGTGGCGGACAGCTGTAACAGCACGGGACGCTAGAGCATGACGTGTATAGCTGTCCTGGAAAGGCATTTTGCTGTGCCCGCACAATATTCCCCATTCACCCCAGAAGACCGATAGTGCAACGAACTTACACCGTGAAAACTATGATGTACAATGCACAGTTCCATGGTGTAGCGGCCGTGACTACGCTATAACAACTCTTTCAGGGTTGCAGAACAAGCGTGCGCATGCGTAACCGCGTGCACATCAGTAAAGCACACCACCTCGCGTACACGTAAAGAATAATGAGAGTCCTCACAAAGAGAACTAACTATGACAACACAAGTAGTACGGTTCCAATGTTAACCGGAAGTATAAAGGAGAGGAAAAAGGGGCGCGCTAATTAAGACAAGTACACACAGGTACCGACAAACATACAGAGGCAAAAACGACAACATGCGCATTACCCAAGAAAACAAAGACCGAGCAATTCCCAATGGAGAACGAGACACAACCGGCCATAGAAACAGACCAGAGCATGTCGTATGAATACATAATAGAGCATTAGCGTACATCACCAATGGCAAAAATGTCATAACTGATGGCGAAAGTTTCCGTATAACTAGTAAGCATGACATAGCAAAGCTTCACGTATCACAACATAAAGTCATGTAACGTGTGCATATTAGATTTGCATGTTATGTGGGTATATGTATATGCTGGCGTATGGTATAACGTACTAAGAACACAGACATAAACATGCTAGCCATATATACATTGTAGAGAGAAGTACTAAACTGCAACGACCCGCAGGTGCGCAGAGAGATGCAAACATAGGACAGCAGAGCGTTTTAGTCATCCTGGTTACTGAAATAACGACTAGCAGCCTAATTTGATATTTGACATGGGGTTTTAAACATGGTACACTCTTTCAGCCGATCATTGTCTTAGCTTTGAATGGTCAGGATCATAGTACCGGCTAGATTGGTACAGGTATGCTCAAGGTTTTTTACATCGATCCCTCAGCATTTGTATGGCGTAGAGAGGTGCGCCTGCACGTGGTTGCAACTTAGACAGGTTTAAATGAGGACGACAATAGTGGTGTAGCGGGATATCAATGTATACACCCAAAAAAAAAATCAGACGACAGTGGGCACGATAGAGATAGTATGCTATCGGGGGGCAAAAAATCACGAAATAACGTGTCCAATACAAAAAGATGCGGTTCGTGCTGCGTATGGTACAGACAATAAGTATAGTGCATCGACATAATACGAAATGACCGAAGTCACCAACGCTAGGACAGCACATAGCGGACCAGACACATACAGTGTTACACAGACGGCACAGAATACACCCACAAGACGCTTTGGCATCCAGAAGGGTAGGGAAATCTGAGGGTTTTGGATTGCCCAGCTCAGCTCCAGGAGTTTCAGGTTTTTTACATGGAGTCTCATGCTGCCTCAGAAGGTCTGACAAGGGTTTGTTCGGCCTTTGGGCCGTTTACAGCTGTTCGCCAAAAGTGTGGTGACACTAGCAGGCTCTTACAAAGGACGGCTTTCTGACATTCGGGGCAGCACGGCATTTGACAGTTTTGCATCTCGTGGTTGGGGAATCTTGAGCTGGAGTTTCAAAAGCTGTTGTGTTTTAGCTACGTTTTGACGGTCGGGGCCACGAGTTGCTGCTGGGTTTAAGTTTAGGGTTTAATCTGGAGTTTGAAACCAATAACAAAGCTCAAGCTTTAAATGGTTGCAGAGGGAAGCAAATCTTGCATGTTAAAGTGGGCTGCTAGCTCCACAGGACCCGACAAAACAAGCAGCCCTACAAGCCTAGGTTTCTGCACATCTTGAAGATGGAGCTTCGACACCTCCTCCTGCGAATTGTGCTTGTAAACCTGTGCACGAACTGCACAAAAATTGAGGCCGATGTCGGGCTTGGGATCAGGAGAGCTCAGGGCTCAGAGGTTTCGGCTTCAAGTCTCTTGGGTCGCACGCTGCAAGGTTAATTAGGTGCTCCGGTCGAATGTGGATTGAAGATACTGGCAGGTAGGTGTGTGAAAGAGACTGACGGCTGAAGGGTTTCCGGGACCGTCAAAGCAGAAGTTCGACATCATGATGAAAGCTTATACACTCCTGCTGCTTGCAACCCAAACTGACAAGTACACCTCTGAACCTGTGAAGAGGCCCGAGTCTCTCGGACAGAGGCATTAGGGTTACATTATTGGCAGGGTGCCGCCTTGTCGAGGGGACAGCAAGTCCTGGCGTCAAGCGACAGTTTCCTGCCGGACGGGCCTCGGCGGGTCCTGCGTGAGTCAAAAGAACGCCTTCTCTGCGTGGTTTTTCTGTGCAGGGCAGACCTTCTTGAGAGAAGCCGTGTGGACCTTGAGCAAAACTGAACCGGAGCTGCCTAACACCAGGTGCAGACGACCATCTTTGCCCTTGGGCGCTTTGATAGCGATGGAACCCTCGACCAGGAGAAACGGCCAGGGCGCAAGAGTTTATTGCAGTCGTGGCATTGCCTTAGGAAAACGGTTTGTTGTTGACAAATTCTCCCAGTCTGGCCCTTTCCAATGACATAGGAACCCTCAGTCTCCAGGTCTCTGGACGTTCTTGTGATCTCTTCGTATCTCTATATACATCGAATGTCGCTGTGACCTGGAACCGATCCACACAACACCGCAACTTTAAAGTCAGTGTTGTTGCTACTGGTGATAACAGTATGTGTACATATGGCTCTTGTTTCCCCTTGGCCGCTTTTTGCAGTCGCATTTTTCTGCTGCATGGTCTCGAACAAGACGCACCAGGAGGGCTTCCTGTGCATCACCCTGGCCCACCTGACGTCCTTGCAGGAGCCAGCAAAGGATTTCATGTCTTCAAGAATTGGCTTCAGTCCGGGATACCCTAAAACCCTCCCGCACTGGAACCCGAATCGATCGTGAGGTTGAGAAGTTTTTGGCCAGTCCCAAGTCTTGACAAGCTTTCTAAACCGCACACGGCGCCAGGACGCAGTTTGAAATAAGCGAGCACGCTTTGGGGTCCAATGAGGAATCTGAATTTTTTTCATTTTTCTACTTACCGAGGGGCTTTTAAGCACCTCCAAGTCCCTTAAACCCCAACTCAGAGCCAATCCAAGCTCCATCCGACAACAGGCGCTGCAGGTGATCGTGGCGGGTCTGTTGGCGATCAGGTCGGCACAGGAGTGGCAGCTTTTCAAAGGGACCCCGTCGGCTCAATGTTCGGGGTTTCGATAGAAAGGGTACGAGGTTGAGGGTTCCCGGTGTACTTTCGGCGGGCATTCGTAACACTCAAGAACCCCCAACCGCATGGCATCTTCTACCACCCTTGCTTGCGAGTAGGCTTATGACGAAGCAGCATTTATAATTGAGCCGCTTCTATCAATGCCGGAACCCTGAAACGATGATCCTGGGTGGAAATCTTCTTCCACCCCCAACCCTTGCCACCTAAGTCCTGAGCCTTGCACCCTCAACCCTAATTGGCCCTAATTCTAAGCATTCCAAACCTCAAGGGGTGCTTAATGGAAGAGCAACCTGATGTTTTGTGGTAGGCCTAGCACCGGCCACACGACACAGCCACTAGTCATTAGAATTGTATTCCGGTTGTTGTCCCAAGTCTCGGGCTTCTCGATGTATGACATGGCTCCGGTTTAGGGAACACGGCTGGCATCTCTTCGAGTTGTTTCGTCTCGAGCTTCTCGAGCCATGGACGGGCTGGGTTTTCAGTGGCCAGAAAGACTCCAGTGTGCAACTTCCGAGCCTTTTGTAGACACATCTCATTGTCGCACTTGCTTCAGGAATTGCAGCCTTACGCCCGAAACTCAAAACCTGCCCCATGCGCAGCAGAGCCCGAAGCTTTCAAGTTCGAATCAAGCCTTCTGGCTTTGCCCACTATCCCAATGTTTTGCCGGTACGGAGCTTGGTTTCAGGGGTTAGACTTGGTTCGACTAAGTTTGGGTTTACTGGACTCGTACGGTGTAAGAAAATAGCAACTGTGGTGAGCGTGCCATACAAGACAAGTGCGATACAGGTGGAGGTCAGAGACTCAAGGATTTTGCGAGGGTTTCCAGCACGGAAGGCTCCTCTTCAACTGAGGCCAATCGAAGCGGGAACAGCACAGCAAGCATATGAAGATGTTTTGCGAGCCCTATACCCCTCCCGCAGGAGGAATTGGAAGGAGTGCGGGAGACAGTGCGGGAAAGCAGAGAGTCAAAGGAGGAGTCAACTGAGATCTCCAGGCGGAGAGCTCGGTTTGTGGGTTGAGGGCCTTAATGAGGCTTTGCGCTGGCTCGAACACGGTTCGACAGGGTTTGTGTACATAAGATTTAGGTTCAAAGGTTCGGCAGATTTAGGGTTCTTGTCTTACAAGGTTCCGCAAAACTTGCAGAGCCGCTTCGGGTTTAGGCCATATTCGGGTTGAGTCGCCGCAGGCAACTGTTGCAGGACGACAGGTTGCCTGTTCATGATTTCATGGTTTCGGGCTTTCGTGAAGCCAGCCTTCCATTCCGATTACGGCTTTGGGTCTAGTGCTTCTTAGGTTTCGGAGGTCGTCATTGTGCAGTTCGGGGTTCTTCTTGCTCGGGCTGGGTCTTGACAGCACTCCAGAGTTTAAGCCGCGGGGTTGAGGAGTTTTGCGATCTATGCTGGCATTTAGGGTTTCAGTTGAAAGGTTCAGGGCTTCGAGCAAGGGTTTCCTGTTTGCAGGATCTGAGAATTCCGTTTTGGAGCATCTCCAGCAGCTCGCCCCCGTGAGACCCTGGCTTCGGATATTTCCACTTTTCCTCGAGACCCCGGCTGCCAAGAACACAAACTCCAAATGCCAGACTCAGGCGCGCCTGGAACCGAACGTTCAAAGACCTTTTTGCCCCACAGAGCGCAATTTTCTATTCTGTTGATGTAAATTTCGCATAGGCAAATGGCCACTGCCGGATAGAACTTCTGAACCCAACCCTGGATCACCACATCCCAAACGTCGAGTCTCTTCAAGAGAGTAGGAGCAGCGTGAGGAATGATCTTCTCTTGAACGGCAGCAAGCTACATAGCAACAAGCAAGCCGGAGATCTTAGATGATTGAGTTTTAGGGTTCAGGGTGTACGGTCGATCCCTTTAGGTGGTCGGCTTTTGCCCCAGACACCACAACTCCTCAAGTCTGAGACCTGAGTCCTACCGCCCTGCCGCCCGAGCCGCTTGAGGCTGACCGCCCTGGTGTGGCTTATTGCCTTCATTTGCATGGCAATTCAAGTTCACAGCTCCTTGGCGGCCATGATTCTTGGCACCCGCACCAAAATCCCCCCAAAGTCCACCCCGAACCGATCCGAGTATTCAATAGTATTCAATAGTATTCCTGCGCGGCGGTCCTGCCATGGCCATGGCCATACACAAGCGACAGGGCGACGCGTCCATAAGATGGTGTGAAGGAGTGTTCTTGTAGGTCCGGAAGCGTTCTTGGTTACTGGTTGCATGGGCTTAAGCTTAAGTGATGTATCCTGCTAGAACCATACATAGCAGCTCTTGGCGAAAGCTGCTACACGTTCTTGAAGCCCTGATTATGCATGGCCTTGTGAAGTGTAGGGCCCTGCCCCTGCAAGTTAAACGACATGCTTGAACAACCAAACCTGCTTTTGCCCAGAGTCCTGTGCAGGGGGGCCCAGGGTTCAGGGTTGTTGAAGGATGTTACACTCCAGCGGTGCGGCGTTTCGGGTTGTGAATGGGGAATTTGTTTCCGGGCTCGGAGCTGCTAAGCCATTTTTGCACGTTGAAGATTTAAACCTTGAGCACAGCCAGAAAGCCCAAACCTTGCACTGAAGCTTGCAAGCGAGGGTTCCTGTTTGGGATGTATGATCTAGGGACATAAAACAATGAGCTTGAAGACGAAGGCCTTGCGAAGTTGGTTGCAGCCTTCGTCTGCGAAGATGCGGTCTGGAACTTTCCCAATCGGTGCGTGGACATCGGCCATTGAACAGCCTGCAGTTTAGGGTTTGGTTTCTGCGTTTGTGCTAGGTAGGTGATTGGGTTATTCACATTGAACCATATTGGGTCGCCGGATCTTATTCGGCTTTTATTGCGATTCGGGTTTCGACAGTTTGGGATTTTTAGCGGCCTCGGGTTTGGTGATTAACTATTGCTTAGTCGAGCTGGAGCGCGTTGAGGGCTTAGTGTTTTGGGCTTCGGGTTGTGGGAATTAAGTTTATCATGGTATAGGAGTAGGATCGCCAGGAATCAAGGGCCCATAGTCTTTGAGCTTGAAGGGGTTCCTTTTCAAGCGGCTTGTCCCGAGCTGAACTGAACATCGAGTCCCAAAACATGCAGCCCGAAGCCGTACTTCCTAAACTCTGCATGCCTTAGCCGAATCCTAATTGAAGGTTCGTGCACAGAAGCGAATGTTTGTGGTAGTTTCTTCTGAGCTATGATCTCACATAGTCGCTATCTCTATATGTCGATAAAGACTTCTTGAATTATTCGATTAGCTTTGGCCCCACGCAAAGCATCCCTTGGTAGACCTCAAACCGTCGTCTGTGCTCCCCAGCAGCCCTAAGGCTCTACCGTCCCGGCCATGGCTTAAGCTTCATGTCATCGTGCTGCTGCATATTATGCTACAATCGTCCTCCTTGTGCTTGAAGCCTTCAACTGCTAGGGCAGTGCTGGTCGAACCTCAGCATCTCGTCTCACTTTTGCATTCCGCGAAGGGTTTCTCTGTGTGCTTTATCATGTGATGCCGCACCCGCGAAATGCTTCCACACCCTAAGACCCTATAAACCCCGAGGCCCAAACTCTAAGCCCAGCCTCCATCAACCCTCAAGTACACCAAACACTGAGCCGGAGGCATTGCCAAACCCGGTCAGAAGGAAGCCAGGGTTCCCGTTATCACGCTTCTGTGGCTGAGGGTCAGGGGTCCGGGTTGCGTTGATCTTGAGCCCTCGAACCCTCAACCCCAAACGACCCTCCATGCCTAAACTGTCTGCCGCTCTGAAAACCAGGCCTCAGACCGTCAGTTCTTTCCTTCAGGAAGGATTAGGAAGGTTTAGGACGTTTAGGAGTTTGGGGTCCGGCGTGTAGGGGCCTGGGTTCAGGCATTAGGATCTTGCTCAAAGGGTTAAGGATGGGCCATTCTTAAGTCTGGCTAAAGCGGCTTTGATTTTTAGGTTTGCGATGCATGGATGGTTGCCCGGGTTTATCTTAAGACAATATGGTATCCTATGAAACCTGACAAACCCTAGGCACCCCTCAACACTAAGACTTAGGTGCGTGAAGCCCTAAGTCTCGGACCCTTAAAGAAAACACGAGTCGCCCAGCCGGAGACGGCAATGTCATCGCTCTGCGAGGGCGCAAAATTGCGACGGCCCGGAGTTAGTCATGTCACATCACAGTCCAGGGTTTGGGGCTTTGCGGTTGAGTTCTCAGTGCTTCGGCTTATTGCTCGGGGTGTCTCTCCGAGTTCATGGCTGTGGAGTATCATGTCAGTTAAGGTCTCGAAATTTCTGGGCTTAAAGTGTCAAATCTTTATGTTCGTTTTCGTGACCGTGAAGATTTATAGGATTGAGGTCATAAGGTTGTCCAGCCCAAGAAATTGCTGTGCAGAACCCAATAATCCACTCTTCAGGTTTCCGTACTGATCTGGAGAGCGTAGCCCAAGAACTTAAACCCAAGCTTCTTCAACTCTAAACTCTACATGAAACCTTGCACCCTCAACCCTACACCCTGAATCCTAACCGGAACAATCCTGACAGGCGCAAACGGGACACGGGTTGTAGCCTCCGAACTGAACCCTCGATCCAAGCACCTGCTGCTGGCTCCACGAACATTAGGTTTAGAGCCTTCTGGTCTATGAATTCGAGAGTTGAGGGAGGTCAGGGTGTGCGGTTTCTGGGTGGAGCTTCTCGGGGTTTGGGCCGAGGCATGGGGTTCGATTTCTGGCTTTGGCTTTCGTGTTGGATCGTTTATTCAATGGCTTCACGAGACGTCGATTTTTGGCAGATGGGTTCCCTTCAGCAAGCCTCCCACCCTGACCGGTATCAATGAAAAGAGCAAGCCAACCATAAGGCGAGCGACGACATGTGTTTATCATCTTGCTGAGAGCCTTCCTAGAATCTTCTCCGGAGGTCGCAGCCTCATTGTCTCGGTCCGTGGGTGACTGCAGCCGAAAACGCTAAATCGAATTTTCTTTGACATTTCCTCAAGGGTTCCGCGCGAGCCCCATGCCTCTGGGTATCACAGGATCAGGGCTCCTCCCCACACACCTTGTGGTCCCCTGGCCAGCGTGGTTTCCTCTGGACTCGGCTCGGCCGTTGCACGGGGGGTTGTGCTCCGGTGACCCATGCAGATACGAGGAACGTGACGCCAGGTCATCTATCTATGTGTATATATATATATATAGATGTCTGTATAGACTGTGCTGGCGATATGAAAACAACGACTGTCACAAGCATACCAGCATAGCAGGGCCCTGGGAGCCAGCTTCAAAAGATTGTGGGCAAAACAGACAGCACTGCGTTGCGGCTCGAGCCTGAAGCCCGAAGCCCGAGGTGCTGAGGCTGGTAATCCTTCTCTATGTCGCCAGGTAGGATTGTGCGGATCGTTTCCCCAAGGCAAAACACTCAGGTTAAGTTTTTCAACTTTGTCCGACGGCCATGATGGATACGATCGTGGGCGCTTTTCCTTCTTCCTGAGAGGGTTCCAGATCTTGCGGACTTTCAGATGGAGGACCGCAGCGTCACGTAAACGCAGACCATACATCTGTTGTAAGTGAGCTTTGTGTTCAAGCACCCTCTAATCCTGAAACTCTTGAACTCATGAAATGCGAATCGCAGGACAGCGATCAGGCCTTCGGACGATCATCATCCACGAAGTCATGCGCGTCGTCCTCTTCGTATATTAATGTCGACGACCTTGCTGGGTTCATCACTCCTGATTATCGTGGGTTCACCACTCCTGATTATCGCGACTCCGGCACCGTCACGCCGGATTATCTTACCCGGGGGAAGAGCAGCTTAAATTGAATTGTTGTCTTCGTCCGGCCCGGCTGCAAGCCTTGGGGGTCCCCACAATCAGCGGTTTTCCCAAGGTAGGGTGTCTTGTGCAGTTCTTGCGGGCATCCAGTGGCAGGAGGGTGATTCATTGAACTACCCAGAGGTGCAGAAGACCCAGTGGCAGATTGTTGGGGATATCTTACGGGCATGCTTCGCGTGTATGAATATGTCCTTTTCCGGGGGCTTCCGGAATCCTTCCGTTCAAGACGCGTGCCCTTCTGCCTGTTCGGGAGAGGTGCTTCCACGGGATAGGAACGTGCAGTCAGTCAGGCACACACGCTAGACGAGGTTAGATGATTACTGATAGTGTTCGGTTATGCTCTTGACAGAACTTTCGTATATGATGCTGATGGAGCCTATCTTAATAATGAGTACTGAGATCCCTGCAGAACTTATCTTCATCTCAGTTGCACGTTCTAGGGTGCTCTGCTCCACCCGAACATGCCAAGGCAAGCGGAGCACACCAAGCTCAAGATCTGTATTCGTTGGGGCTGCTTAGACGCACAAAGTTCCAAATTCCGAGCACGAGCTCCGCGTTTGCATGACACATACATGTGGATGCCCCGCTCTTTCGAACGTTTCTATGGAAATTCCGACAAAGATTGGACATCAACAAAGCAGTGGATTGACGCTTTACACGATGTCAGCCACATTGGTAGAGCTGCTGTGCTTGATGGAAGTCTTGATGTTCTTCCGTTGAAGAGCACCCACAGTAGTACCGTCAGTAGCTGTGACAGTGTTAGACATTCATCACGCGGTTTATGCGCTACCAGCTACATACATGCATAGTCTGCATAGTACTAGTCTGATGAGTAGTGTTGTAATGGTGAGGTCGCTATTCTAATTACTTTAGATGACGACCAGCAACGCCGTTTTGGTTGCTGGTATTGCTAATGCCAACAGTAATATCACTCATCAACGCAATTGTCGCAACAGTACTAGCAGTACTAGTACTAGCAAGGGTTTACATTTTTCAAAGCCATACTAGATAAGCAGGAACACCTATGACGCGTGCTATGAGTGGCTATGTTGACGACTCTAGCAACCCTTTTATACCGGAAGTAGTTAGGGGTCAGGTAGTACTTGTCAGGTTCGTAACAATGTGCGCATGAGCCGCTTTTGCCGGATTACTATCACCTGCTATCGTAATACGAAGACCGAAGTTGTAAGGTCAGCAGCACCCGCGCATTTAGTAGGATGGCTGCTCTGCCCCATAGATAATAGGCTACTAGTACTGGAACTTGCAGAAGTATTGGTGATTTCCTGTATCAGCGAGGAACTATTTGTAGTACTTGTCATACTTAACGAATCAGCCATGCTAGCAGCTAGCAGTGCTAAATCGTAGTGCTTGCGTCATCTTGATTGTACCTAGAAGGCAGCCATATTTGCGTATCAGTGGTGCATTCGTATGATTATTCGCGTGAATCAAAGCCGCTCCAGACTTAAGAGTGTTGTACAGCATCGTGATACTGCTGCCCCACAGGATCTGCCGAATCGCAGCATGACCCATATGTGTAGCAGTCTTGGATGCACGAATCATGGAGCCGCGCCACACTGAGCCGAGGAAGCCTCCTGTGTGCCTTACTCGAAGTGCACCTGGGATTTCTTCTTGAGCCACAAGCAGTCGAATGCCCAAGATGCCGTCCAAAATCTTCGCATGGCTCTGAGCGACTTGATCAGATCTTGGGGTTCAGGCAACATTTTCACCAAGAGAAACTGGGGGCTCGGTGGTGGGATTTGAGACAAGCGAAATCTTGCCATGGCACGTGCAACTTCATGTTCCAGAGTTTCCATGCTCCACCATGTTTTCCGCTTACAGATTGTTTGCTCATTGCTTCCTGGGCAGGAGAGGCAGGGAACTCAAGCTCTTCACAGGATGATTGTAACTTGCAGACCCTGAGCCTCGGTGGGATCCCCGAGTCCTAGTGGACAG